GAAATGTTTTTACTGTATAAAAATATTGAATTTAACTCAATTAAAAGGGGATATTTGGCAACTGAGCCTACAATTACCACATGAAAAATACTAGAATTTAGACGGCATAAAGATGCTTATATGGTATAACCCATTATTTGTAATGTTTATCGATGATCCAATGTGGCTTTTAAAAATGATTTCTCCAGGGGCGCCTGGCTGGCTCAGACGTTACACATCTGCCTTTGGCTCAGGTCATGATCTCAGGGTCCTGGGATTGAGCCCCACATTGGGATCCCTGCTCGGTAGAAAGCCTGCTTCTCCCTCTTCCTCTGCTGCTCCCTTCTTGTGCTCCCTCTCTCACTGTGTCTCTGTCAAATAAATAAAATCTTAAAAAAAAAATATGTTCCTCTGTGAATGTCTCCTATTTTTAAAAAAATGATTTCTCCAACATTCGTGGTGCTTAAAATTTTTTATTTCCAAGAGAAAAAGAATGATGCACATTTTGCATGACTTGCAAGAAAAGTGTTTTGGAAGCTTCAAAAATAAAACTGACCTAGCAGAAAAGTGGGGTTTTTCTTTTTTTTTCCCCCCCAATAGTACATTCATTCCAAAAGCATTACTGCAAATGCCTTTCCTAGTTGGATATGTAGCTGCTACCTGAGGTCTCATGAGAGTGTGGGTTGACATTAAAGACACACTAAAGTCAATGCCATTGACCGCTGATTATATGTGGGTGTAGATTATTCTTTTTTTTTTTTAAGATTTTATTTATTTATTCGACAGAGATCACAAGTAGGCAGAGAAGCAGGCAGAGAGAGAGAGAGAGAGGAGGAAGCAGGCTCCCTGCTAAGCAGAGAGCCCGATGTGGGGCTAGATCCCAGGACTCTGGGATCATGACCTGAGCCGAAGGCAGAGGCTTTAACCCACTGAGCCACCCAGGCGCCCCGGTGTAGATTATTCCTGAGTCAGCAATGTGTTCTTTCTGAACATATGAAAACATTAGTCCTATGCATCAAACTTTAAGGAAGTAAATAGGACCCATGCAGATTTCTCAAACGGACAAATTGCAATGGACACACTGAGTTTTATTAAGTTTATTAGAATATTCACGCTCTAATTTGGGATGCTGCTTTACTTTGCTGTATAATATTGTTTTAGGAAGATTTTTAAGTTATTATACACTTGGAAACTATTTTTTACTAGGGATGTGGAGAATGGAGGCCTTCTGCCAACTGTTGTCCATTGAACAAGATTTGAACATTTTTTCTCCTTTATCCTGATTTTTAAAAATTAAGCCAACTTTATTGAGGCACACTTGACATACAACAAAATCCTCCCAGTGTAAGTGTGTGGTTGGATCAGTTCTGGGCAAATGCACCCTTGCCGCTGCTACTGTGTTGTTCGCTCAAGGCAGAGAGCATTTCCATAACCTGGAAAGTTCTTTCCTGCCCTTCCCGGTCTACTCACCTTTTAGCCGACCACTCTGTTGGAGAAAAGAAATGTAAAAGCAAAACTTTTCTTCTTTTCTCATCTATTACCCTACCCACATGATTATGTCTCCTTTTCTCCCTGTTTTGTTATTTTTCCAGAAGACTGGCAATTTGTTAGATTAACGCACTGAGCTGTTTGTTGGCTCTATTGACTAGGAGAGAGTATGCCTCATTATTTTCCTATTGTTTCTCAATAACCTTTCACTCCTCTGTGTCTGAAATCCTCATCCAATCCACTCATCCACCCACCCATCCACTCATCCATCCATCCATCCACCCACCCACCCATCCATCCACTCATCCACCCACCCACCCATCCATCCACCCACCCACCCACTCATCCACCCACCCACCCATCCATCCATCCATCCATCCGTCCATCCATCCATCCACCCACCCATCCATCCACCCATCCACCCACTCGTCCACCCACCCACCCATCCATCCATCCATCCATCCATCCACTCGTCCACCCACCCACCCATCCATCCACCACCATCCATCTCATCCATCCATCCATCCACCCATCCATCCATCCATCCATCTAAGTTGTGTTGAATGTCTGTTCTGAAGCACAGGCCCCCCAACATCCTGCCTCCCCTTGACTTGGGTTCTAACCAGGAAGACAAACAATTTAACAATTATGCTAGAAAAGTCGGTGTGTATTCTAAAGGGAAAGTATGGCACACAATGGGAGACTCAGCAGGAGTGGCTGGAAATGATTCTCAGGGGGAAGAGGCATCTGTGATGCAGAACTGTAGGACAAGCAGCAGTGAGTCAGTTAATTATGTCGGCAGTATTTATCAGTTGCTGCGGGCAGGGCTCAGTGGTAGCTGCCAGAGTTTCAGATGGCAGACGTGGGCCTGCTCTCATGGGGTGCCTAGCATTATGGAGTTAGCCCAGGCTGGGCTGGGGCACTGGATAATGGTTTAGGCACAGGGGACATGTGTAATGGTGCACAGAAAAGAGACAATACAGTGAGTGAGAAACCCTGAAAATTCCATGTGACCAGAGCTTGGATGTTAGCCAAGAGGGCCCCCCGCCACCCTGATGGTACTCAGGGCCAGAGCTGTAGTGGTTAGAGCAGTGTGTTGGCTCTCATTGGCCTTGTAGAATGGTCATTGAATCCCGAATCGGAATCTTGAGAAAGAAACGTTGAATGTAGATACCACAGTTCAATCACTTTCAAATCATTTCCTCCTGCCTTCCAGAACCATAGCCATGATTAAAATGACCTTTCATGAGCAGCAAAGAGACAGTGCTGAAGAAAATAAGGTATGGGCGGGGGGTGGGGGATACAATCCATCTATGTGATTGCCATGTAACCCTGCCAAGTCACAAGAGTGGGCGTTTCAGATGGGAACTAGAGATGGCCAAGTGTGGTGGCATCCTCGAAAAAAAAAAGCCCTATGTGCCTTTAGAATCAGAACACCAGAGAATTTAGGAAAGAAAGAATACATTTCTTCTGTATGTTCTAACTTCTTTCTAAATAATTTTTAGGTTATGTGTAGGCTCCCTGACTTGTTGACCTTTAGGTGACTGTCACGTGATAGGCACTTAATAGACTAAGGCAAATGCTCCACACCCTATGACATACGTTTAGAGTACGACATACCCCAGCTGCGGATTCATTTTGGGCCATAACATGTCCGTACAGTGTACTGAATCCGTTGCAATTTAATATTTGAGAAAATCTGCCTGTTTACTTTGTAGTGAATTCTGTACCTTTCACTGAACACTGAGGATCTCTGAAAACCCACATCTCCCGTGTGCACTAATTCACACTGCATTCTGGAAGTATAAAATCCTAAATGCTTGCTGACTGCAAATCAATCTCTTTAACCCAAATATTAATAGCTTCATGAAATGTTAATACTTCTCCATTGATTACGACCTTTCACTTGGGTTTTTTTTTTTTTTTTAAAGATTTTATTTATTTGTCAGAGAGAGAGAGGGAGAGAGAGCAAGCACAGGCAGACAGAATGGCAGGCAGAGGCAGAGGGAGAAGCAGGCTCCCCGCCAAGCAAGGAGCCCGATGTGGGACTCAATCCCAGGACGCTGGGATCACGACCTGAGCCGAAGGCAGCTGCTTAACCAACTGAGCCACCCAGGCGTCCCTCACTTGGGTTTTGTATCCATATCAAGGGGGCCTGGTTTCATTGTTTGGCTTGTTCTATGCTGGTTGCCACCGGATCAGAAATGTATTCTATCAAAGTCTATTTAAGGAGCGCATTCAATCAATGGCCACGACATGTGTTCTGCCTGGTGCCGCCTGTTCCGTGTCTGTTGCTTTGCCTTTTAGAGGGCCCTTTGATGAGTGGGGCTGGACCACCAGATATGTGAGTCCTGAGCGCGCTCATGATTTGGGGCCCTTGGTATCCACCAGCCTCGTAAGCAGCAAGTGCTCGCACGACTGGTTTCAGGATTCCAGCAGAGGCTGCCACAGGACCACTCGTCAGCCATTGTATCGTGCTCGAGTGAAGATATTCAGCGACTTGTGATTTCTACTCTGGGCTTTGTCATCTTCCCAGGCCTCGGGACCTCTTGAATCTGCTTCTATTTTCCCAGGTGTGCAAGGGGACCAACTGGAAACCTGAGTGAGCGGACCCCACATTTTGATTTTTTTCCCAGGGTTATTGCTGAGAAAGGATCCTGGGCTGGCATGTTGTGTAACCGAACTGTGCTCAACGGTGGGCTCCTAGCTACTCACGTGATGATAAATGACACTTGTCATTGCTAGGTGATCTATTAGTGAGCAGATCCCCCTCGCGAGGTGCTCTATTAGTGAATCTGCTCGATGATCAGATTTGCCCACCGGCTTGAAAAGTGGATTTTCCAACATTTATTATTTTTTTCCCCCAACATGTTTAAACCTCAAACGTATATGGGCTTAAGATATAGAAATTCTTCTGGACGTGACAGGATGAGGCTCTTCATAAGAGGAAACAAAAGAAGAGCATGTGAATTTTCACAGAAAAATGCCTCATGTTAATCTTGATCGAGATCAATGTCACTTGCCTGGGTTCAGCCGAGAAACCCTGGTTTGTTTTCAGCTTCTGCGGGCTGGCCGAGGTAGGAAGCTCCGCACCACGTGTCACAAGGGCTCCAGGGAAAAGGCTGCTTGAGAGTCAAACAGAAGGCTCAGAGACAGACTTTCCGAACATAACTGGCCTTTGTAATTCAGTATCGTGCATGCACATCTTTTCTAACAGGAAAGACAACTCTTCAAATTAACAAGTCAAAAACGTCCTTGTTTCGTGGAGCTGCTGGTTTTGCTGGTGAGTACAGTTTTCCCCAGAGTATCATCTCCCCACACAAAGCAAACACTTGGACACCGATTTCAGTTTTATCTGTTCTCCCCTTTGTTGAGTGGTGTCTGGGTGGTACGGTTACCCCTCCGTGAACCGCAGCAAAGAATTAGGAGTTTCTAAACAGAAACTGATGAAACAACGTGTCCTTTGGAGGATGCAGGATTCAAAGAGTTCACAGACTGATCATCAGAAATAAAAAGGCACAAAGATGAACCTCTCCGTAAAGAGTATATTGTGTTGATTTATTATAGACTGCAGTTAAAAAAAATATTTGAGGTTAGCCTCTCCAGTTTAAAAGCACTTAACCAGGAACGTTTGAACAGCTATGCGATGGTCTCTCCCTCACCTGCCTCCCCCTTCAGCAAGTACTGTAAACAGGGGTTTGAGAACATTCAGTCAATTTCTTGATAGGAACAATCAAATGTATTTGCTTCGTAAAGGAAACCACCTTCCGAATTTCCAAAGCATGCACTGTTACTTGGCATTAGGTATTTCAAAACGACCAATTTTGCTATGGTATTGTAAGGCCAAAATAGAATACCTCTTTACCAGACATACACATTACAACTAGAAAAAAAAAATTACAGACTATCCGAGTATAACGATTCCATCAGGAATTAATGGGGAAAGGCACTGCATCTCTTCCATTCGACCACACATGTACTAGCCACTTTGCATGCTTTGAATTCAAGTCCTTTCCAACATTTAACAGCATTTTCTACAACATACAAGTCACAAGTAGGGTAATATCTGACACTATTCTTCCACAGCCGTATTTTTCACCCAAGTGTACAATAGGTATGAATATATGTTATCAGCTTTATTTACAAGTTTATCTTGATGTTTTAGTGGGGTTAAAAAAAAAAAAGTCAACTATCTCAACCAAGAGCTCCCCCAAAAGGTTTTATTTTTTTTTGGGGGGGAGCTATGATTCATGTGTGTAAACCACCATGTAAAAGAAAGAAATGGAACCAATGTCTGACCCTAAAGACCAAAACTAAAATTTCTCACCCACTAAAAGTTGGCAGTGAAACTGCTATTCTCTGAATTTTTTATAGCGTGAAACCTGACATAGGAATTTCAGATTGACTTCTTTTGCCAAAGCGCAAGGTAGATGTGGCGTGAGAGAGGACTGGGGCTGATGTATCCAGTGGGACGCCCCGTGTGCGTGCTGTTGCAAAGAGAGTCATGAATCTGGAAAGGTGACCGATTTTCCAAACGCTCTCCCGTCTTCCCAGAAGATGCAAAACAACAATGGCATAACTCTATACACGAACAAGGGTTAGTTCTGAAAATCAGTAATATACATGCACAAACATTAGAACATGAGGGGGGAGAAAAATGAAACACTACAAATCCCACATTGCCTTGTTCTCGTTTTCACGACGTTTCTGCACCAGACCCTTCGAGGCTTCGGGGTGCCTCCTCCCAGCAGTAGAGAGAGCCTCCCCGCAGGCTGGCCAGAAAGACAAGGCTCTCCCCCCACACCCGGGGATGAAGCTGCCCTTGACAAACACAGAACCTACCAGAGAGAACGAGTACGACACACTATCGTTATCAGTTTTCATCGAGACGGGCCCCAATGTCCTTGTGCGATGACCTCGAGCTCAGTGATGGGCCCGGGGCGTTCCTGGAAGCCGGGACACCGGCCCGGGAGCAGCATCAGAACCAGGGGGTGGAGCCCGGATGCTCCTCCGAGCAACGGGAACTGGAGTTCCTGCCCCGCCGACCCGCGCCGCCTCCTCCCAGGTCGTGAGCCGCCACCTGCACAGTACAAGGTTCCTCCCCACCAGTGTGACTCGGAATACTTCTGCCCCCCGGTTGCCAGTTCAGCTCAAATGCAGAGGCGCGTACTCCGGCCTTCGCGTCTGGATGATTTTTGGTTTGGGTCTCTTCATTCGTTCCATCTCGTCATCGTCGTCGTTCTCCTGATCGCTCTCGCAGACGTGGACCACCACGCTCGGGGTGGTGTCGGTCGCCGCGTGCAGTTCATACTTCTCCCCTAGGGAGGGAAGAGAAAATGCAGGGTCACTCGGGCAAGGACCGGGAGGGCCAACGAGCAAGAGCTCGTGGAAAAGCATGGAGGGGTCTGCACCGCCAAGCTTCTCCGGACGTTCAGTGAGGGTGGAGGGGCGTGGGCAGCTATGCTCTGGACTGGCATTCCCTGGTGGCTCTAGCAGAAAAAAAATTATATCTAGATATATAACATAAAATAATATAATATAAAATTTTGTATATAAATATACTAAGTTTATATATATATAATCATCTTTATATATTATGCTGCTTTCAAACACTGAATCAAGGTGTATGGAAGGAGTTTATTTTATTTTATTTATTTGTTTATTTATTTAAATGGAGGAGAGGGGCAAAGGGAGAGGTGGAGAGAGAATCCCAATCAGGAGCCTGGAGATCAACCCAGGGCTCAATCTCTGAGATCCTGACCTGGGCCAAAGTCAAGAGTCAGAAGCCTAACCCATAGAGCCACCCAGGTGCCCCAAGGAGTGCATTTTTAATTTCACTTAACATGTTCACCAGGCCTCCTAAATTTTACAGTGTGTGCGAGGAGTGTGCATTTAGGAGAAGACAGTGCATGAATAAAACACATTAGGAAGGGACATCGTGAGCCTCCCTCTTAAGGCTCCCACGGAGGCAGCACACCCCAGGGACAGGAGACACAAAGGGGCCCCCTGTGCGAGGACATAATTATGACTGGTTTGAACCAGGTGCTCCCAAAACATGTCTGACCACAGCATCCCTTTTCACAGGACAACTTGCACCCCGGGGAGCCAGAAGTGTCCTGCATTTCCAGGTTAGCCTGAGTCTGACCAGGTTCAGTCCAGTTCAGGCCCCTCTGGTGCAGCAAGGGTGGGATGCAGGAATCTTCTAGAAGTAACTGAGAAAAAATCTATGGGGCTGCCCTGGTTGCCTCTTCAGGGCTGAGGGAGGTGGTAGCCAGACGTGGGCTTGGAGCCCTGCCACTCAGTCCCCAGAGCCCATGGTTGCATTCCTTTGCATCCCTGTGAACCTCTATCTCCTCCTCTGTAAAATGGGGTAATAACAGCCCTGACCTCACTGAGCCGATTACCTAAGTGCAAGCCAAGTTCTTAGGTCCTGATGTCCGGGTCACAGGCCCAGTAAGTGTCACCTGGTTTTCCCAATGTTTACAAACAGAGCACGGATCACTACTGGTGGAAAGCTGGGTGCAGTAGAATGCTAGGATTTCAACGGGTGGGGGGAGGGTTTGCTTCAGCTCCCTTCACCCCCCCCCCGCCCCCAAGGGATACAGGGGTAGGTTTTCCCCCACCCGGATTCCAGAACTTCCTGCCTCACACTACTTTGCGGACTCCTCCGAACCCGGAAGACACTTTTCCTCATAAAATGTTGGGCGCCTGGGTGGCTCAGTGGGTTAAGGCCTCTGCCTTCGGCTCAGGTCATGATCTTAGGGTCCTGGAATCGAGTCCCGCATCGGGCTCTCTGCTCAGCAGGGAAACTGCTTCCCTCTCTCTCTCTCTCTCTCTCTCTCTGCCTACTTGTGATCTCTGTCTGTCAAATAAATAAATAAAATCTTAAAAAAAAAAAAAGGAGTTGTTTCTCTATCTGGAATGTCAGCACAATTGCATTTGAAAAAGTGAGCCCAAGTCTCAGCTCTTCCAGGGAAGGAATGAAGGTGGAGGTCACAAGACCTCGTTGGTCAGGATCCTTATCTACCCCCTAATTGGCCACCATCCAGCAAGCTTCGGGGTAGGACCGTATTTGCAAAATCTTTGCAGTCTTGTTGGCTGCAAAGTACAACCAAACATGAAATGTAGTTCCAGCTCACTGTTTTTTTTTTTTTTTTTTTAAAGATTTTATTTATTTGTCAGAGAGAGAGGGAGAGAGAGCGAGCACAGGCAGACAGAATGGCAGGCAGAGGCAGAGGGAGGAGCAGGCTCCCCGCCAAGCAAGGAGCCCGATGTGGGACTCGATCCCAGGACACTGGGATCATGACCTGAGCCGAAGGCAGCTGCTTAACCAACTGAGCCACCCAGGCGTCTCCCAGCTCACTGTTAAGTAAACGAAGGATGAATGGGTTTTATTCTGTCTAGTTTCTGAAAAGGCTTTTCCGATCAGCCTTCCATAAAGGTATGGTAGGTTCTGGAGGGGGAAGAATTGTGCACTTCTTGCCTCTGGAGCCATTTGTCACCTCCTCCAGATGGAGGCCCCATTTCTTCTCTAGCATTCCCTCAGACTCCCTTCCTCAGCTCTGCTGATGCACCTGAGCCGGGAGCTGCAGGAGGAGCGCCTGCTTCCTCAGAGCGGCCATCTTGACCTTCACACCACCATTACCAGTAGGTAACGTGATTCTTGCTCTCTCCCTCAGAGGGAGTTTCCGCTGGAGCAGTGTGTTCAGAAATGTAATCTTTTCAACACGAAACTGCTGATGGTCCAAGAAATAAAACCCTCCATCCAAAGGAACGTCATCAGACTTCTGGTCAAGGAGAAATAAGGAGCCGATGGTCTCAGCATTTATTACGTTTGCTCTATGGACAGGGCAGGAGGGTGGGCTCAAACCACTTCATGCCCCTCACCTAAACCCTAGCAGGTAGGACAGGAACCACCAACATTCTATTGTTTCCAGAAATCATGAATTGGGTACTGCCCTTGGGCCAGGCACCTCTGTGGTGCTTTCCACACCGATCTCATCTACTGCTCCTAACTCCATTGGGTAATACCCATTGCATGGAGAAGAAGGCTGAGGCCAGGGTATCTGTTATCTGCCTGACTACTCACATCTTTGTTGCCTCAGAGGACTGGAACCTCCTTTTTCTCTGCATTCGAATAGGTGTGAGCCCCCCTGTGGGGCCAAGTGGGGGCCTGCAGGTCGGGGGCTCTTTCTTCACTACACTCTATGGTTCTCCAGAACATTCAAAAGCGCGGGTGAGCATGAGATCAATGGACGAAACCACCTTGACTAAAAATAAAGTTTCTGAGGTGTGGGATGGTCCTTTTTCCCTTTCCAAGTCTAGTCGGTCATCCTGGAGGGACAAGCCTGGGGCCCAGGTCTGAGGCTGCCCACACAGGCTGTGCTCAGTGGGTGACAGGAAAGACTGGCGTGATGCCAGCTGCTAGGGATCACGGTCCTTGGTCCCCATGACTGTCTAAGGCCCGAGGCAGGCACGCATGTTCCCAACAACTTGAGTTATGGGCACAGATGAATGCAAATAGGAGCAATTCCCAAACCCGCTCGCATCCATCGGACAGTTGAAAGGGGCCACAAGGCTCTGGGTGTTCCCTGACAGTAGGTGTGTGTCCTGGTCTTGGCCCTCAAGGACAACCTCTCCCCATCTCTCTCCCTGCCCCCACCCCAGAGCACCGCTTACCTGGCCCCAGCTTGGAGATAGCATATAACAGATCGTAATTTATGACGGGAGTAGCATCTTCTACTTGTTTCCAACCAACCGGCGGCGAGGCAGGAGGAGAGATCAGGAACTGCTTGTCCGGATTTGGGGGGGCCAGGTGGGAACTTCCTATGTGCAAAGTCTGAGGAGAGAGAGAACGCGCAGGTGGGTGTTTCTGGAGGAGAGCAGCCCTGTGATGCTGCAGCACTCGGTCACAGCTAGCTGTGGACAGGCGACCAAAGACGAGTCCAGCAGGGCAGCAGAATGCCTGCCGTTCAAGGTCAGCTCATGATACGGTCTATATGGAGAACGTGATCAGGTTATGCGGACCCCTCCCAGGGCCGAAACCCACAGGCGCAGGGACGGCAACTAATTACCACTGACCCAGACCGATGGAAAATTGGTACTGTTTTAGTAGAAATGGAGAAAATAAAGCACCGTCACTGAGGCCAGAGGAATCTCAGAATCCATGTCTTCTGGTTCCTCATATCACAGACGTCTAACAGAAGCTCAAAAAGGCAAAACAACAGCTCTACCGTCATAGAGTTTCTCAGGGGCCAAAGCAGGGACGGGGACCCAGGACTCCCGCCCACCCAGCGGCACCCCACAATTCCCTTCCTCTGGGCTTCCAAATCAGATGCATGAGGAAGGGGGTTTTAAAAAAAATAATACTATGAACCAATAACCCACGACACTAGTTTGGGCACAGAAGTCCTATCAGTGGTTAGAGGGCCGTCCAGAAGGGTGTTACATCTAAGTCTAATCAGTCTGGGTTTTCTTTGTGTTTTAATTTTCACAATGAGCATGCATTTACTTTTGTAATCAGAAGAAAGCTGTGGAAGGACTAAGTCATGATCCATGATCCAGAAGCTGGATCGAATGCCGAAAGGAGTGTGCTCACAACTAAGGATTCAAGGTCAAAACCCGTACCTCCCAAAGGTGGCCACCAGGGGGCAGGGCATCCCAGCTCTAATTTATCCTTGAAGGGCCAGCAACACCCTTTTTCTCCCCAGGTCAGGAAGCCTCTCTAGGAGGTCTGCTCCTCCTTTATGGGCCTGGGGAGCTCAGAGCCCCAGCAGCGGCCAGCTTTAACCAGAAAATAGCATCGACAAAGCTCCTTCCCTTTCCACTGCTTATCTGTTGGATCCATGTTACAACATCATGTAGAACTTTGTGAGCTGCCTTGAAAATGGGTCCCCGGTCACTGAAGGTTAGGGGCAGGGGGAAGCTGGAAGGATGGTGAGCCAGGGAAAAAGCAAACCCATGCACAGCCCTTCGTGAGTGTCCTGGGGCCGGGACTCCTGCTACCAGGAGGATTTCTTAGTGTTTGCTACCTGTCTGGTTAAATCATTTTTTTTTTCCTTTCAAGCCAGTCCTGCATTTGCAGGCTGCTGGCTCTCCATTGCGTGGAGCTCGGTGCTGCTAAGAAAATCCACAGAGTGGGGACCCACTCAGGTCTGCTCTCCGTCTGGAGCACGTCATTAGCCCTAACCCCGGAGGAGGAGCCGTACTCCCAGTGTCCCTCAAACCAAGGTCAGGGGCCACTTCTGAGATCACGTGCTTCCAAATACATGCTGATGTTTTCTTAAGATAGGCAAGGCACTGAAAATTTAGAGTATGAACTTTGCCTTTCTCCAAATGAATTCGTAAGTTTTAAATCGGCACATATAGTATATATTGACTGGGAAGGGCATCCATCATATCTTGCTGAGTAAAAGAGAAGGTGATGATAGTAACTCCATTGTTTTGTGCAAGAAAATGAACTACTCTGTGTTTGTGTCTTTGTATATGTGAAGGAGAGAGTGTGTAAGGACTCACGCTAGATTTTCAAAGGTGGTTACACTGGGGGACGGCTCTGGAAGGAGAGTGGAGAAATGTTATCTATTTAACTTTAGGGACTTGGGTGTTATAACTTGGATTATTTCAGTTAACTTGTACTGCTTTTGTCATTCAAATGACAAAATAAACATGCAAGAATGTTCATGGCATCATCATCTACGATAGTGAAAAACTGGAAAACAAGATAAACGTCTGAGAGTAAAGGCTGGTTAAACATGTTTGAAATATCTATACGGCACAATATTATGTGCCGGTTATAATGGTCTTTCTTTTCAATTTAAATCCAATTAGCCAATCATTAGTTTATCATTCGTTTCAGAGGTAGAGTTCAGTAATTCATCAGTTGCATATAACACCCAGTGCTCATCCCATCACATGCCCTCCTTAATGCCCATCCCCCAGTTACCCCATCCCCCCCACCCACCTCCCCTCCAGCAACCCTCAGTCTGTTTCCTAGAGTTCAGAGTTTCACAGGGTTTGTCTCCCTTTCTAATGACTTCCCATCTGTTTTCCCTCCCTTTCCTTAGGATCCTCTGCGTTATTTCTTATAGTGCACAAAGGAGTGAAACCATGTAATTGTCTTTTTCCGATTCACTGATTTCGCTCAGCATAATACCCTCCAGTTCCATTCTCGTTGATGTAAATGGTTAAGTATTCATCCTTCCCGAAGAATGAGTAATATTCACTCTGACGGCTGAGTGATATTCCATATAATGATCTTTTTAAACACATTTTCATGGGGCAGTAAAATGATCATGAATAATGATGCATACAGGAAGGTATGAAATAGGATATACTTTGTAATTTCCATACTGCAGTGCAGATGTATAGACATTAAAAAACCAAGGTAGAGCACGCTCAGGGTGTGAGCTGCTTTTAAAAAGGGGGAGAGAGGGAAGCATGCGCATCAACGGATTTAACTCACCTGGGCAAAATATAATTTCATTTCCTTTCCGAGAAATTCGGTCTTATGCAGCTGGAGCCTGGCGTCCGCAGCTGATAAGGGGTTACTGAAGTTTATTCGGACTCGTTTGAAGCTCTTAAAATACTGGAAGGTGATATCCTTGTCATATGTCCTAAAGAGGGATTCGAATTTGGCCTGAAAAGTAACAACAAAGATAAAAGGCGTCAGAACACACCTGTGTAGGAGTCTTGACGACTCCGTTCCATTTCTTCTTGAGGGAGCGGACTGGAATCATGGCGAGAACACCCAGCCTCTTTCTTAGAGGAGACACGAGCCTCTCCCCTCTTAAGAAGATGTGTTCTCTCTGCCCTTCTAATTCTGAGACAGGCGATTTTAGGACAAAGTTAGAACCTAGGCTCTATTAAATTCGCTGAATCGCGGAACAAGTACCAACACCTGAACAACTCGTATAGTCACAGAAATAGTCTTTATAAGTAGAACAGGAGGACACTGCAAGGAGGGCCAGCTTGGCGATTTGTCACCCCCCTCTTGGCCTGAAGGTCCCTAATGTCCAGCAACCTTCCTCAGTCCCGTGAACCCCAATCCCACTGCTCGGTTTTGGGTGTTGGGTATTTCTTAGGGCTTAAGACCACTGGAGCGCATTTGAAGAAAAAAAAAAAAAAGAATTGTTTTTATTGCGCAGGAAAACAATGCTGTTAATAAGAAACCTTGCATTTCTTAGTGTAAGGAAGAGGTTTAAGAAGAAATCCCCTATTGTTTTCCCACTTGGTCTGTTACCTTTTAACTCTCTAAAAGAATACTGGTTTAAAATTAATGCCTGCCAAATGGTCCCATGTCTGCCCGCGGACTTTAACATGCGTACAGTTCTAGCTCTAGTGTTATAAAGGCCAGTGAAAATTATGAAACAGCAGGAGCTCTGAGAATGGAAGTGCCCAAGTTCAAGGGTGTATTACGCTTCCATTCAGGTGGGAGCTCATCAACCTTCTGGGAAAAGACCCCTGCTGGGCTAGGGGGTGTCAGCCGGAGCCTGTGGGGGAGATGGGAGGCCACAGCAGGTCCTCAGGCTTCAACCAGAGGGAGTTGACCAGACAGTCGAAACAAACTTCCAGAAAGATTGTATGGGCTTTGAGTGGTCATGCGACTGAGCACTGGGGATGGGTCGTGGGAACTCTGTGAAAGGCAGAAGGGGCTGGCTGAGGGTCCAGTAGGGGGCAGTGTGCTTTCTATAAAAGGGATCCATGCAGTAGAGGTGGTGGGTGGGGCCCACTGAGGACCTTGGGAACCTACACAAAGCAGGCGGCGAGAGGATGGTGTAAGAAGGGGGAGAACTTTCGAGACTGTTGGGTGCAAGAGAGAGGTGAGGGAATGGGTGTCCAGGGGCAGGCTGCTCCACAGGCAGGTTGTTGGGGGGATGGGAACAGCTCCCACACTTCCCCTCTTGGAATTCCATGACTTTTCTTTAGTTTAGGAACAGTTCTGAGGGGTTTGCAGGGGCAAAAAATGAGAACAACGCATAGCAGATGCATGGGACTTTTTCTCCACCTCTCTGGAGCAGGAGGACCAGCAAGTTGCTGGCACGGCGCGTGGGCATAAATTTGGAATTTTGCATGACCTCATCAATAGGCATTGTGACCAATGACTTAGTGCTTAGTTCTGAGGTTCTGATTCAGAATTGAGGGGGAGAGGACTTTGAGGACTATTTTTAGAATACGAGGCAGAGCTTAGGACCAGAACACAAGACAAGGCACAATATCTGTTAAATCCACATTTCTGTGATACCATTCTCCTACAAAATAATTTGTTCTAATAACTGGTACCTGGTTTTTACAGTTGTTGGATGGCATCTCTCTTTAATTCATTAAATATGGATTTTGACTCACATAAGGCTAATACGAAATACAGAGATTTTGTAGTACTTTTCATAGGTAGAATGTGCTCTGATCTAATTCAAAAAGCCCAGTCCTGGCTCACACGCATCACACGTAATTGTGGAGTTAAATTTGATTAAATAACAACAACAACGACAACAATATAAAACCTTCACAGGCTCCGATATGGCATTGGGCATAAAGCATATCACACAAACACCATCCCCAAACAGAACACACAGAATTCATTTATATACAGTACTGTTCAAGATCAGTTAGACAGCTGGGGAACTACTGATGGAAATCTGACATCCTAATCAAATGAAGAAGAAAAGCACAGGAATTAAAATTACTAATTATACTAATTACCATCAATGAGAGCTGCTTCCCGGGAGGTACACTTACCCCACTTAAGTTATTTCTCCAATTTTATTACTTGCTATGGCCTCATTTTCCCTAACTAAAGAAATCCAAAAACTTGGGGACAGGACCTAGTAATTACTACAAACATATACACATCTTTACAATATCTATTTCCCAAGATAAAATTAAATTGTTCTGATCTCTAGATGTCAAAGAGAAATGATCCATTCACTGTCAGAAAAAGCTTCCCTCTAAAAATTTACTTACGACCTACACAGAATGAAAAACACCCTGTTAACACCAGTTCCATTACCAGTTAGTCAAGGGACCTAGATGTTTGCAAATGTTGAGAGCTTTAGAAAATTCTTTGCGGGTATTTCCTCAGGCAACAGCTTTTGATTGATAAAGCTCCAAGTATTTTGGATTTATTCCCAAACCCGCAAACCCACAAGACAGCCATGTAACACCCCTGCAAATATCTCATTCACTAGTCCCAATTAACACTATGCTTTGAAAACTCTCAAAAATCACATCATATTAGAAGCCTTACCCTGGTTTCACTTTCGCTGAAGATATCACTGTTTGCCACACAGGCAATCAGGGAGCTAAAACTGTAGTTAAAGTTTCTAAAGTGCATCTTGCTTTCTTACAGTGAGAGGGCTAGCAGCTCAGACAGGCAAGCCCCAAGCGAGGTTCCTTTGCAAGAGGCTGTAGGTCCTGTCTCCGGCCAGCCCTTATAAAACACCGAAGTCCAGCCCCCTGGGGGAAAAAAAGCACAGCTTCCCGGGCATCCTGTTTGGACAGCAAATTCCTGAGTCAAGTCCTGCATGCTTTCAGGCAGACGGAGACAGAGTGTAAGTTTCTACTGGAAAGAGGTGACGTCAACACCTTAGTCATTTTCCCTATGCTAATTAACTTTGCTTGGGGAGGATGGAAAAAACAGCCAAGGTTTGCCTTGCAGCTGTTTTATCAACCCCTCTTGCAGCATACTTTCCACTGGTAGTAATTCCATTCAGCCACTCAGACACCATGCTCCTCGGCTGAATGGGACGACCCTTCTCAAGATGGAAAATGTTACCGAAGAAAAATGAGGAAGGTCTCAGCAGTAAACAGTAATTAGCCTCTAGGGGAGTTTCGAGTCTTTGGGAAACCTGGAAACCCAAGCCTGGACTGGTCGTTTGATCCCTGTAATTCCCTGAAAACCTCAAAGTTTCGTGTTGGGGTATTAGAGAAAACATTTTGAAATCTTTCTTGGTCAATGAACTCTGTTTCTAAAGAAAAAAGTGGGATTCATTTTGTAATATGGCTTTTTTCCCCCCCTAATTGAACTTTACTGGATGAATGTCCCAATTCCCGCTTGTATTCCACTGTGGGAACGTGAGAAGAGATCCTCAAGCAATCCCGGGATTTTTCATTGGAAAACTTTATTATTTGTAATTTGGGAGCTAGGAATATGCAACCCTTTGATCATTTCCTAACAGCTATTGGACTCAGAAAAAGATACAAAAACATTTTGGAGAATCTAGGCTCTGAAGTTGAGAAAAGAAACACTGAGGCGGTTGCCTTGCTTTGAAACATGTTGACAAAGTTTTGTTGTTGTTGTTATTTTAATAGGAAAGGAGGGGGAAAGGGAAAGAACCTATGCTACACTGAGAAGTCCATCCGGCTGGCCCCTTTTCCAGGTACGACGTCTGGTGTGGAGAAGCTACTAGAATGGCAGAATGCTAGTTCTTTCCAAAGGCTGCAGCTCTTAAGTTCTAAGCACTTTACCAGTGTCGATCCCTATGGCAGCCTGGGTCCCAGGTCCTTCTCAATCTCTCCAATTTCATTATCCCCTAAAAGCACTCCAGGAACTTATAAAAAAGTATTCTCTAGTCTAGAGGCACACGGAGACACCTCCTCCAGAAGCTTCCAAAAGTGAAACAGAACCCTGCCATTCACACGTAAAAATTAACTTCAAAGAATCGTTCAAGCCAGCCAATAATAAAATGAATATATGCCGTGGAGGAAAAAACAAACCAGAGCATTTATCCCTCCCCAGAAAGGAAAAGCAAAGCTTCTAGGATGAACGAGTGTTGCTTCATTTGAATGCACGCTGCCCTCCTGCCAGTTGTAGGGTTATGTAAGAAACCAGGTATGGTGTTTGCTTTGCCAAATTACCCATCACCCCCAACCCAAAAAGATCTAAATGCATGTATTCTAAAAAAGTTTGGAACACTGACAGTACGGGTTTAACATGAAGGGGAAACGGTCACGTGAGCCGGTGCTTGGTGATGGGGAGCGTGTGTTTGGGTCCATGACACATACAAGCTCTGGTGGCTGCAGTGTGGAGAGGGGAGGTGTTGGTGGAAGAAAGAAGGGGAGGAGGAGGGCAGAGAGACAGAACTTTCCCCCCCTTCTCCAGAGAGGCTGGGGACACCTCTGAGGTGACCCACTCCCGCCAACTCCAACCCCTTTTCTTTTCCTCCTGGAGTCCACCTTAGCAAATAGTTAAAAGGCAATTGGAGGAGGAAGAAGAGGCTAATTTCACAGTCTTCTTCTTCTTTTTTTATTTTTTATTATTTTTTATTTTTTTATTAATTTTATTTTTTTAAACATAGAATATATTTTTATCCCCAGGGGTACAGGTCTGTGAATCGCCAGGTTTACACATTTCACAGCACTCACCATAGCACATACCCTCCCCAATGTCCATAACCCCACCCCCCCTTCTTTTTTTATTTTTTTAAAGATTTTATTTAAGTATTTGACAGAGAGAGAGAGAGCACAAGCAGGGGGAGCTGCAGAGGGAGAGGGAGACGCAGGCTCCCCACTAAGTAGGGAGCCTGACGTGGGACTCTATCCTAGGACCCTGGGATCATAACCTGAACAAAAGGCCAATGCTTAAACGACTGAGCCAGCCAGGCGTCACTTTTTTTTTTTTTTTTTTAATCATGACATGAA